TTATGCAATAGTTCCATTGCTCCGAAAGGCACCAACACCACAAACATGGCCAACAGGTCAAGTTCGGTGAGTTGAATTATCAAAGGTGAGGCTTAGCAGAACGCTATCAGCTGCAGCTGTTGCCTATGTTAGCAAAACAGCTATCATTTATAAAGTGGACGGTATTTTATCCAGCTCCTTTATTCACCGTAACCTGACACAACCATAAAGGGATTTGTCTCCTCCCAGGATTGAACTGGGAAACTGTACTTATTAGACAAATGAGTATATTATTATACCACTAAATATTTACCACACACAGTTTTTAAGAAAAAGCTTTTTTTTATATCAGGGTGTCAACATGCTTTTTTAAAAATTGCTGTTAAATTGAGTTTTTACCCAGGACTGAAGAGAAACTAAGATGCACATGTTTGCAGATAGGCAGGTAGGAGAGCAAGGGGCAGGAAGAAGAATCACCAGCACCATTATAGTCTGGGAACACGGGGCCCCGGGGGCCCAAAGTTTAATCAGGGCCCAGAGTGTCCCAGCAGATCATCATATGCGTCAAGATGATCAAAATGATTCAAATCACCTGTCAGCTGTATTGCGGTTGAGCAGTGTGTCATTTATATGTATGATACTGTAAAATATAAATCCATGATATATGGCTTTACAGAGTGTTTCTCCTGTCGGTTTGATTTTAGAATTCACATCTTTAATGTTTCGCTTTCACCACTCACGTGAACATTATTTTACTCGGCAGAAAGCAGCTGCTGAAGATTGTGCTGAATCAGGTTGACGAAGAGTGTGATTGGTTCCTCCTTGTCTTAAATGTGCACATCGTCAGATTTGTTAGGTAATAAAACATCGCTGTTGGAAATGTGTAACAATAAAAAACTATAATGGAGAACAAAATGAGCTCATCATCTGTTCCCTAGTTGTTCTGCCACCTTCGATCGTGTTACATGATTTTCATCAGTTTGCCCGACTGTCACAGAAATGTGCTGTAGATGCTCTGCACTTTTTTTTTTTTTTGAAGCTTTGGAAACTCCTTGTCCACAAATACATCTTGAAGTGAGATTATTTGAAGTGGGATTAACTGCTGTTTACAGAATCAAGAATGAACTTTGATGCTTGAGATCTGCATATATCTTTTACAAACTTGCGTAAATATTAAAAGAAAAATAGAATAAAGGGTGTTTTTAATGATATTTCTCTCTTTTTTTGTCTCCAGCTTTTTACCATTCAGAAGGTTTTGGGGCCACTTCCTGCAGAACAGATGAAACTCTTCTACAACAACCCTCGATTTCATGGAATCAGGGTACAAAATATTAACTGTGCTTGAATTCTTCTCTACTTTTTCATCTCCTTTCTCCTCGCCCTCCTCTTCTGTTTTTTTTTTTTTTACCTCCTTTCCTTCTATCTCAGCTTTGTGTCAAATCTCTCTCTCTTTTGTGGCAGTGTTCCCAGCACCATGACTGAGTGGATTGCTATGACTCATGAGATAGGTGGTTGGTGTTCAGTTTAGCAGCAAGAGAAAATGCCCCAGAGGGACGATCAGGACTTGTGTGTGTGCTTGTGTGCATGCGCACGCTTTGTAGTTTGTTCAGCGTGATCCGCTGATAGATTTCTGTGTGATTTGAAGTGAGAGCTCCTTTTATTTTATTTTTTTACTGGCAGCTACATAAACTGTGCATTGGAAATCACAATAGTAATCTTTAATGCACAGAAAGTTTGCGTTGGTTATGAATTTGATCCAGTGTTTGTGTCTTTGTGCTTCTGCCAGTTTCCATCAGTTACTCATCCTCAGACTTTGGAGAGACGTTACCAAGGCATCTTGAGTGGTTTGATGTTGGATTTGATGAAGGTAAAATGCCAAGAAACATTCCAACTCTCACACAAGAATAAGAATTATTGATTAGACTGCTATATCATATATGAAACCTGAGACAGGGGTCACTAAAAGCATGCCTTTTTCCAATCAGAATCTGTTGCTGCTCAACCCTACTGAGCGTTACCTAACAGAGCAGAGTTTGAACCATCCAGCCTTCCAGCCTCTGAGGCAGGCAGAGAGAGAGAGGCCTCCGCCTGCTTCTCCCAACCCGCCACGCTCCTCCAAGAGAAAAACACACCATCATGGAGAGAACACGGTTCCTACAAGGTTAGAAAGCAATCCTTTATTTCAGGCTTCTGCCAGAGTGTCTACATGCAGTCGTCTTACATAGCCCAGATTGGATGTCTCTGTGTTAACACTGGAACTAATGCTGTGTTATAGTGACGGACTTTTCATCACATCTAATGTCAGATACTGTTTGTATCTGATTACATCAAGATTTAGTGTTTCTTTATTTTTTTAAAACCAATGCCGTTTTAGTGTTTGTTTTTGTTTTTGTTTTTTTTCATTTTAATATCCCAGCCCAAGTTGAAAGCTGCAAAGCCAGTTTAGCTCACTGAGTTGAGCAGGCAACCACATGCCATATGGATGAGAGTGACCAGCCTGGGTTCGAGTCTGACCTGCAGCACTTTGCTGCATGTTTTCCTCCTCTCTCTCGCTCCCTCTGCTTTCCTGTCATTTCTTCACTGTATCTGTCAATAAAGGCCAAAAATAAGAATTTGATCAGAACCACTGACGGCACATGCAGTATTAATTTATGCACAACTCTCTTTAGTTCCTGCATTTCTCTTTTCAGCCATTCTGCTGAAGATTTGCTGCTGTGCTTGTGGTCGTTGTCATGTTGGTTGACCAGGTTTGCATCGGGCTTTAGCTATCAGACCTCAGGTTTGACTCCTGATTACTTTAGTATACAGAGGAGTTCATGGTTGTTAAGACTGTAAAACAAGCTCAACAAGCTCAAATCATCACCACTACACCACCGTGCTTGACAGTTAGCATAAAGTGTGTTTGGTTTTCGTCAAATGTGGCGTTGTGCGTAACAACTAAACATCTCCACTTCGTTCTTCTCTGTCCAAAGGACATTGCTTCAGAGGTCTTTGTTTAGATGCGACTTTTCAAAGCAAAGCTGTGCTGCCGTGTTTTTTTTCGAGACAGGAACCTCGATCTTGGCACCATTTCCTGTTCAGGCAACTATTCAGTCTGTCTAATTGTAGTGTCGTGAACTTTAACCTGCTCACAGAGGGCTGTAGAGTCTAAGATGCAGCTCTTGGGTTTTCTTGAAATTCTCTGTGAACTGCACAGTCTGACCTTAGAGTGAGTTTGCTGGGATGTCCACTCTTGGCAGCCATCTGAAATGTTTTACACTTGTGAGTAATCTTTCCCACTGTATAGTGATGAAATTCAATTAGTTTGGAAATGGCCTATAAACTTTCCAATACTGATGGCCAGAAACTGTTGTTACTCTAAAATAACGCATACGCTTAAATGCTCGCACCTTCTGATGTTCAGTTAATCAAGTGCATTTCATTAGACCCCGGCTGCTACTTACCCTACGAATTCCTATGGAAGCAGTTCGAGTGTATTTGGCTTTTCGAACACTGTATCTGCATTTTGATTTAGTTTTTCTTAAACAGATAATGACACAGTGTC